ACACACTGCAAAGAACTGGCTCCTCAAGCATCAGTTCTACATCAACATCTGGGAGAATCGATCCCAATGGGTGGTGCAAGGGATGCCGGAGACGATACCGATGGGCTACCACGATGGGTACATGCAGTGGTATCGGAAGTTCACCATGAGATGGGTGTCAAAGCAAGGTGCTGTGATGGGTTCGTTGGTAAGTCATCCTAAACTCCCTCATTCTAAAATAAATTTATTTTAAGGTTTAGTTAACAAAATACGTGGACTTCAAATGCAAGCGGTAATGAAAATTTAAACAAGCGATCAATTTAGTAGCAGGATACAAGTAAATGCAAATTAAGATAGTGGTTGTCCTGGGCAACGCCTCTTGTCGTGACCAGGTTGTCTTCACTTAGTGCATTGCTTCGGTCCCCTTCTCGCCCGTTCAACTTGATCCATCTCATTGTGTATCCTTTCAACTCTAGGACGGCCTTTGGTGCGTTTTAGGTGCAACAGTGGGATAATCAACTTTCCAGCGTATATAGGCCAATACGCTTCATCTGGCATGGGGCTCAAAGCTGCATTATATGAGTTCTGTATCGCTTGTTCAGTATAGTAAGGACTCACCAGGCTGTTTCTGTTCATGGTTATTGACTTAGCAACCGCCATTGCATGTGAACAGGGTATCCTTTCGTTCTGATACTTTTGACAAGAACACTCCCCTAATTTGTAGTGCAATTTAACCGTTTGACGATTGTGACCACGTCTCCCTCCACCCCATATACCTGTTTCCACAGCGAATATTCCTTCACTGCGGTTAAAAAGAACAACCTTATGCTTACTTGATTTTTCATCGTTCTTCTGCATTTGAGCGAATACGTCATGTGCTATTGAGTGACCTTGCAACTCCCTCCATATAGCTTGCTGTAGCCGAGAAACTCGCCACTCGTTGACCTTCCAGTAAGACATCTCCACGATGACAAAAATAGGCATCGCTCGAAGACCCTTGTACACATTATTTATACTTTCTCCATGGTTGGTAGTTGCAATGCCCCATCTGGCCCCGTTGTCCATATGGAACGTCCACATGGGCAACTCTTGACCTTCAGCCCATACTGCTCCAGCTCGGTGGGTCTTACGGATCGTTTTCATCTTCTGCTCGTACTTTTTTGGTTGATGTGCAACCGCTGAAAGGTGAACAAAATCGAAACTGGTCAATACATGATGAATAACATCAGCTTAATAAACACAAACTTAAATCGCATAAGAAAAACATTAGTACCTGCATTTCAAAGTTGATTTTTGATGTCTTTCTTCTTCCCAAATTTGTGCTGGAAATTGGCGAGCCAGTGTCGAATGCACCATCGTCATCTCCATCCCCACTCGTCGGGAAAACCACCAATAGCATTCCTAATCCCCGCATGTCGATCGGATATAATCGTAATATCTTCCCGCTGTGTCACGTGTTCGTTTAGTTGGTCAAAGAACCATGCCCAACTTAAGCTGTTCTCCCCTTCCACTAATGCAAATGCAAGCGGGAAAATCCGCCTGTTTCCATCAACGCCAGTTGCAATTAGAAGACATCCTCTGTACTTCCCAGTAAGGAAAGTTCCGTCAACCTTAATAAAAAATTAGGATCTAATTAGTATGAAATATACGTAACAGAAATTAATAAAACGCTCGAAAATCGGAACCAGTTGGTAAAATACCTGAATAACCGGTATGCAGAACCCAAAACCGTCAATGCATGGTTTAAAAGCCCAAAAAATACGATGGAACGTTAGCTTCTCCTGTACTCGAACTTGATCCTCAGTGTATACATTGTTGTATACTGGGACGAAAGCAGTCCCAGGATTGGACTCCTCCATTGCTCCCATAAGTCTAGGGAGTAAAGCATACGAATCCTCCCAATCACCATACACCTCAGCCATGGCTTTCTGCTTTCCATGCCATGCTTTTTTGTACCTTATCGTGTAAGAATGTCGATCCTTCACCTCTGCCATGATAGCTTTCACCTTGATATCTGGTTGTGCTTCTATAAGGTGCTTAATAGTTCTCCCAACTTTCTTTGCTTTTAATTGCCTGTGATCTTGGGAAAGTATAGAAGAGGAGCATGTGTGGATCGTCTCAGCTTTGCGAATCACCCAAGCACCCTTTCTCTTCATATTTGCAGCCCGCAATTGCCACGTACAACCCTCTGCATCATGCTTGCATATGACATGTAGTTGTTTACTGTCATAATATTTTACCTTCCACTCGAAATTGCGCCTCAACGCCTCTTCTGTAAAAGCATCCTGCACAGCGTCTTTCGATGTGAACGACATACCCACCTCCAAATTGGCCGTCGGATTGTACACTGGCATAGGGACAAAGTCGGGGGGATCATTCTGACTATGTAAAAATTGAGTTGGAACCTGTGTGTAATATGGCGTGGGTGCCTCACGAAATGTCGTCTCATCCTCGTTATCATCAGTATCTTCCTCCTCCTCGCTCACTGATCTCAAATCTTCCTCAGTATCCTCGTCGCTCGACTCGAATGGATAGCTCGGGCCAGAAGGATCAACATGACCACGATCACCAACATTGTCTTCTCGCTCATGTGAAGTACGACCTGATCGAATGGTATTCTCGATTCAGACCACTCTGGCCCCCAAGCAGGCCATTGAACACCATCAGCCTCAACAAATGGGGCTGGTTGAGGAGGTTGCGAGTATTCTTCCGATGGCACCCATCCTGAACTACTACCTCCACCGTAGTTGCTCGAACTACCACCCCATCCGTACCCTCCTGCAAAACCATCATCATAAGAATACTGGTGAGAATGAGATTCACCGACCGCCTCGGTCTCAACATACACCTATGCAAGCCGGACTTGGTTATCGCTTAGGAATTGTAACATCATCGTAACCGCGTCATCATCGTTTATGACAACTTCTTGGAACACGACCCCGCCAGCACTCTTGTCTGGATACCGGTAAGTAAGTTTGCCAAGTCTCGTCTGTCCGCTCGTACAAACCCTGTCTGCACAAATATCACAGAGTTCTTGAAAATTGAATCGGGAATCAATTTTCAGCATAATGGATTCGCCGTCCTCATAATCAATGCCTATGTCAGAGTTTGTCACCCTTCCATTCCACCGAATAGTAAGATGAAACTTCTTGAATTTACCCATATCTACAATTTACAATAAGTATCTATTAGCTTAAAGACAGTAAAATTAACCAAAATCATATTGTACAACTAATATTATCCATCTCATAACTAACGAACATAAATTCAACTAACTAACAACAACATTACACGAAAATTAAATCATACTATAACTAACGAACATAAATTCAACTAACTAACAACAACATAATACGAAAATTAAATCATACTATAACTACTAAAAACATAATTAGACTATAATACGAAAAGTCTCAACATACCGAAAAATTTATGTTCTGTGTATTATGCTCGATTTTGGTTGCTGAAATTTGAAGAAAGGGGGAGTGGTTATGTTTTTACAACTGCTGGTGGTGTGCTACTTATAGGAAAATCTGCCTACTATTCACCGTTTTTGTCGAACACGGTGAACACCATCACCGCGTTTGTCTCAAACGGTGAATAGTTGGTAGCTGTGACCTAATTTTCACCTACCAGGGGTGGGAAACGTGGGAAAAGATCACCGCGTTAACCTACAACGGTGAAAGTATTCACCGTTTTTAACTAAAACGGTGATGTATTCACCGTTCTAATCAAACGCGGTGAAAGCATCACCGTTTTAGATGAACGCGGTGAATACGTCACCGTTTTGCTTTTCAACGGTGAAGTATTCACCGTCTTTGTCAAACGCGGTGATATCGTTCACTGCGTTTGTCAAAAACGGTGAATGCCAAACATGTGTACTTTGGGAAAAAATTTTATAACTTATGTATTTTGTGAATTTTTTTTAAGAACGTGTGTACAGTGGGATTTTTTCCCAATAATGTTTCTATAGTATGAGTGCTCTTATACCATCTATACCTATGATTCTATTGTATTCTACTATATACATCATCCTTAGTTATGCCTAAATTATCAAGAAATTACCTAGTGAGAACGCCTAGCTAGCAAAAAAAAGTACTGGGTCTAGTTTTCTCCCCGTCTTCCGTGACTTATATGATCATTTTACTAATAAGAGATAAGGGCTCCTATCTTAACCAAACATCAACTGAAGTAGAATCTCAATATCCAAACCCAAAACAAAAAACAAGAAGAAAGCAGAAGAAGGTTTCCTGCCTCCTCCGTGAAATGTGCAAATGTATTACATCGGTTTTGATGGTATTACACCCATATAAATTAGCTGAATACTTTTTTTTTATTGTGTCACTTAAATATCAAACTGTTAGGAAATTTAAAAAATGATCCAATATTTGGAGTTCACTTGGATCTATAAATCCAAACCAAATCCAATTTATGAATTTATCAATCCACCAATCAATTTATCATATCCTACATGTGTGCTCTCGCTCTACATTGGCTTGGAGCAACCTTAGCATGGATTGGAGCGAAGAAACTTCTTTTCTAGAGGAGCGAGATGTGCTCCTAGCATGAACCAGAGGTCATCTTCCTTGCTTGTTATCTTTGGAGTTGGGGGAGGGGAGTTGCGTTACAGATCCGTAATCCATTTAGGGTAACAGATTGTTTTTAAAAAGAACTCAATAATAAAGTATGCTTGTTTCCCGCTCCAAGAAATCATGTGTTTTGTGTCTGTTATTTTTATGTGATTTGTCATTTGTGTATGTTAAATAGCATTTGTGCTAGTTCACTTAATCAAATCGATTGAAGTGCACCAGTATTAATTGAAATTGTGTTAGTTTCAGACAACTGCTGAAATAACCGACTTAAAATAAAATTGTATGCTTTTTTAGAAAATCCTGTATTGTTTTTAGAAAATAACCGACTTAAAATGAATTATTCCTGTATGTTTTTTTTTTTTTTTTTTATGAAGTATTCCTGTATGTTAACTGACTCTAAACAACAGATACAAAATTGACCGACCATTTGGTTTAGTAATGTTTTTGGAAACGCCAAGAGGATCAAAGTTGAGACAAAACATCACCTAGAACTCAGAGATGGTATGGAATTTAGCATGGGTTTGCAAACGCTAACACGGGAGAAAGGACGCTAGCTAGCAAATCACAAACTCAACCCTTCCAATGAATAAACATATATATAGTTCAGATTTAACTATCATAATACGAGATCGCATAACTTGCATTAAGAAAAACTGCTAACGGGAATGACAATATGTCACTTCATTCGTTCTTAGTGCATAGCCGAATGAATTTGGAAGAGGGGAAAGAAAAAAAAAGAAACGAAAAAAAAATAAGCTAACATAGAAAGAGGACATTCTTGCAAGATGCAACTGCTCCACCACAAGAAGAAAAAGAACGACAACGACAACCGCACCAGCACAGCATGACTTAGAAGCACTTCCTGTGGACGATGGAGGGGCCAGACTCATCGTACTCTGCCTTGGCGATCCACATCTGTATTCAGTTGAATAATATCACATCAGTTATTACACTCCACATATCATTACTTCATTAGCTGTTACTTCTTTGCTACAACGATATCATCAGAGTATTATAAGACGAACCTGCTGGAAAGTGCTGAGAGATGCCAAGATGGAGCCTCCGATCCAGACACTGTATTTCCTCTCAGGTGGGGCAACCACCTTGATCTTCATGCTGCTGGGAGCCAAAGCAGTGATTTCCTTGCTCATCCTGTCAGCAATACCTGGGAACATGGTAGATCCACCACTAAGAACAATGTTGCCATACAAATCCTTTCTGATATCCACGTCGCACTTCATGATAGAGTTGTATGTAGTCTCGTGAATCCCAGCAGCTTCCATCCCGATCATTGAGGGCTGGAATAGGACTTCAGGGCATCTGAAACGTTCAGCACCGATGGTAATCACTTGTCCATCAGGAAGCTCATAGCTCTTCTCAACAGAGGAGCTGGTCTTTGAAGTTTCCAGCTCCTGCTCATAGTCAAGGGCTATGTATGCCAGCTTCTCCTTCATATCCCTCACAATTTCCCGCTCAGCTGTGGTGGTGAAGGAATAGCCACGCTCGGTCAAGATTTTCATGAGAGCATCAGTCAGGTCACGGCCAGCCAGGTCGAGACGAAGGATGGCATGAGGGAGTGCATATCCCTCATAGATAGGGACGGTATGGCTGACACCATCACCAGAGTCCAGAACGATACCTGCACACAGGAAGGTAACAAGATTGTCAAGGTGAAACCCCCAATAACCACTTGTAAATACCAGCAAGCCAGCAGCTTGAAGTAATGTGCTTATTTGCAGAGAAGCATGGACTTTCATAGTTATTACACCTCTATTCATTCCCGAAAAGACAACTTTATGTACATTTTAATTCACCTTACCTCTGTTAAAAAAACAAATCACTTTCTGCCTTGACAATCTAGACATCTTCGATTGGTAGAGCACCAAAATGAACAATCATAGTCAGCTTTGTTACTTCATAAAGGTATGTGGTCATCACATTTGATCAAACTAATTCCTATAGTCTCATTGGCCATCATATGGAACACAACAATAAATTCAATTGAACATGCTGATTTAGGACAACTCACCAGTTGTACGACCACTGGCATAAAGGGAGAGGACAGCCTGAATAGCAACATACATAGCAGGAGTGTTGAAGGTCTCAAACATAATTTGGGTCATCTTCTCACGATTGGCCTTTGGGTTCAGAGGTGCTTCAGTAAGCAGCACAGGGTGTTCTTCTGGGGCAACTCGAAGTTCATTGTAGAAAGTGTGATGCCAGATCTTCTCCATATCATCCCAGTTACTTACTATACCATGCTCAATGGGGTATTTCAAGGTCAAAATACCTCTCTTGGACTGAGCTTCATCCCCAACATAGGCATCCTTCTGCCCCATTCCAACCATCACGCCAGTGTGCCGTGGACGACCCACAATGCTAGGGAACACAGCCCTAGGAGCATCATCGCCAGCAAACCCGGCCTAGAATGCGACAAAATGTATCAGCAAACACCACCACTGCTTGGCATCCTCAAGATAGCAATCTCAAAGGAAAATCCTTCTAAAATTTAAAATACAGTACCTTGACCATTCCGGTTCCATTGTCGCAGACGAGTGGCTGGATATCCTCACCTTCTGCCATCTTCTATAAGCTGACACAGAATACCAGCATCAGAAATAGAGCAACAGAATAGGAAAAGATGGCATGCATGAGAAAAGTGAGAGAGCAGGAGCCAAAATAACATGAGCTCATTATTTCAAACACACTAAACATAGCTGAAATCATTGCAGCTAAATTATTGGTCTACAGAATAATAAAAGCGTCTATAGATTTGCAAATTATAAGACCAAAGGACATCCTCACTGCTGAACCATGTAGATTACTCCACCTAGAAAGCCTCATAAACTTGGCAGATGCTTCCTAACTAAATAAGTGAGACATAAAACACAAAAGCTCAGAATCAAAGATAGAATCCATGCCAGCATTGTTTTTTGAGACATAACTGGCTAAATTACTAGATCGGATCCGGAAATCTTAATCGGATGTTACAGTCTCTCGTGCAAAAGAAGGTAACCTATACTATCAACATCCACAATGTATCAAAACCTGAGCACACAGACTCGAAAAGGGACAAGAACAATCGCATAAAATTTAACAGACCACATTTGGGCCAGGAATGTTAAAAATACTTTGTTAAACAGTTTCCATTATACAAGGGCTAACTCACCACTCTAGGCTGCTCAAGGGTTGGAAATTTCAAGAGCTTGATTGAAATAACCAGTCTTTTTTTCAGTACCCGGGTGAATCCAACACGGGGCAAGATCCAGATATAGAAATCTGATTCCATACCCAAGCACAAAGTTGAATTCAGTCGCAATCTAGATCTATAGCCCGCGTTGCATTGCATTGCGATTAAAGAAGGAGCATTGGAAGGTAGTCTTTTTAATATCTAAAGGATATCCCAGAGCCGAACCATAAGATTCGCCGATTTCCCCTTTTTTTCTTACTCTTAGGGTTACAGGGGACCATATAACCTCACCTTCCAGCCAAAATCAAGAGCAGGAACAAACACATCGCTCAATATCAACAGATCAAAACCAACGAAATTGATTGCCACAGCCCTTAGCTAAACAAATCCAGATCTGCGCTTCGATTCATTCCGATACGAGACAATGCAGGTCAATAAAACGGCGAACAATTCGATTTTCCCGGGAACCAAACAAGACCACGGGAAAGATAACCGGAGAATTGAAAGATAGAATGCGAGAGGGGAATTCACCTGAGGAAGGGGAGCGAGCGACGAGGGTTGTTTATGCTCTGCGCGATTTGACGGGAGAAAGTGGTGGCCGGTTGGGATTTCGAAAAATGACAGGAGGAAAGGGGAAAGTGTGGGTGTGTATTTATTTGTATATATATATATATGGTGTGTGTGCACTGTGCTTGGCTGCCTTCTATTTTTATACGGAGCTCCCGCGGCCTCTGATTTGATTGATTTTTCAATTGGAAGAAGCCGATTCTTCAGGACGTGTTGGCTGCATCGACAGCCATCGGATGGCCAGATTTGGATTTAATGGTCGGCAAGGATATGGGCGTGAAATAGGAAAATGACGGGAAGTGAAAAAAAAAAGAAAACTAACTCGATGATGAAAAGTAAATATGGTACAACTACAAGGTAATGTTGGGGAAAAAAACAAAAGGTGAGGTGGAGACTTGGCCTCCAAAAGTTCTATTTACATATGATCTTTGTCGAATCGACAACGTTAATCTCATAAAGTCAGGAATTGGATCGGGAATTTGGGCCAAATTATATGAAAAATCACGATTTAGATCGAACCGAATGGTTTGATCCAGACTGTAAGAGCATAATTATAATTTGATTTGATAGGTTGTCTCCCCTGTAATCTGTTGTCTTGGACGATCTAGTTTAGTATAAACTATGGTTAACTAATCATTCTCTTGCCACCCCACATCCCAGGCCACGAAATAGACCCTCCACTCACTCTCGACATTCATCTCTCAATTCAATCAACATCTCCCCCCTAAATCAAAGAATCTTCTTTCCCTCCCAACCATCCAACACCAGAGACCATGTAGAAGTCTTCTTTCCCTCATGACTTGTTCATCAAAATCTGTAAGATTACAAGTCACGGGAGGAAAGATGTTGGGAAGGCACTTTCGTGTTGTTTAGAGAGGTTGGATATGAAGAACATCTTTTCAGTCATAATTGACAATGGTACATCCAATGACATTGCAAACAATTGTTTGAGGAACAAGTTTGAGGGGTGGGGTACAAAGTTTGGAGGTGGAAAGTACCTACACATGCGATATTTTGCTCATTGTACTAATCTAATTTTGTCTGGTGCTTAGAAGGATATGAGCATATATATTAGAAGGGTGAGAAAGGTAGTAAAACGAGTATGATCTTCACCTACTAGATTGGAAATTTTTTTAGTGTGTTCAGATATGTCAACTAAATGGAATTCGGCACTTTCATGTTATAAGCAACAATTCCTTATGATGAAGCTTTCCATGCTCTTGTGGGGAAAGATAAGGATACTTACCTGGCTTGAAAGCCCAAAAGTACAAAAATGAAGAAATTGGGATCCTAGAACATTCTAACTGTATTAACCTTAGATTGAATAAGTTGGTTTACATAGTTGTTGTGCTTGATTCGGGGTTCAATATGGGCTAACCACAACATGTTTTGAAGAAGTTGTATGGGGATAAAGGGGAAATGAATCAATAAAAGAAATGGATTTTGAACTTGTTGAGTTGTTTGGATATTATGAAAGAAGGGTGTGGCAAACTCCGCCACCACAACCACAAATTTAGAGATTATGAAGAATGTTATCTTGTATTTGATTCGAAATTCATACCACCTGAACTTTCTGAATTCAAATATGAGCTTGAAATGTACCTGTCTCATCCTTATGAAGGTGGTGTTGGAGGAACCCAACTTGAGTTAGATGGGTTGAAGTGGTCGATGACACATCATACGTGGTATCCTTTTTTATCTGAGATGGACAATGATGTCTTTAACATCTCAATGCCTACAGTGCCTTCAGAGTTGGCCTTTAGTACTAGTGGGGGAAGTCTAGATGACTTTAAGAGTGCTTTACACCCTCAAACTGTCAAAGCACTTATATGTAGTGAGGATTGGCTTAGATCGAGTTCAATCTAGCATTTGGAGGAGGGAGGAGAGGATTACGAGGATGATGAGTTGTAGACTTGAAGTTGTCGGTTGGTAACTTGGAAGTTAGTTTGTTAGTTGTTATGTTATGCTGACTTTTGAACTTTGTTGTTGGTGATAGGGCTGGGAAAATAGACCAGACCGTTAGAAAAACCGTGGTCCAAACCGTACCGCACAGTTTGGTCCGGACCGTAGACCGTTAAGTATGGTCTGGTCTGGTCCACGGTCTGTCTTATTTTATGTTTTGATCTCTTGGTCTGGTCTGGTCTAGACCGCGGTTTACCGGACCAAACCGTGGATCCAACCAACTTGTCAATACGTGTTAACAGCTCATTCGGCCACTCTCCCAACTCCCACAACAACACCCAAGTATCAACCTTAGTTTTGTGAATCACGTCCCTCCTTTATTCACAACCACATTTAACCAGAGAGTATAGATAATTGTGTCTCCATATGGCATTATGTTAATGTTTATGACGTTATGGTGCAAGTTGGGATGCTTTTATTTTGTATCTTTGTTATGTACTAAGATTTAGGGTATCAAAATTATTCATGCATGTTAGGATAATGTTTTAAGGCAAATAACAATTATTTCTCTTGGTATTGGTTAGATTTTTTGTGTGGTAGACTGAACAAATTATTCATTTTTCGTTGAGTGTGGTCTATCTGGACCAAACCAGACCGAACCAGACCGCACAGGCGTGGTCTGGACCGGACCGTATAGTCTATGGTCTGGTCTGTGGTCTATACTTCAGCCTCTCGGTCTGGACCATACACCGTATATATGGTCTGGACCAGACCGCACCGTTTCCCAGCCCTAGTTGGTGATGATGGTATACCAAGTTGTTTTCTTGGTTAGTTACAAGCTAGTATTTATTGTTGGACAGTACAAGTTTTGATGCTTATGGTATGCTTGGTACGGACCGTACAAAATCAAATTGCACTGCACATGTGTGGTCTAGTTCATGGTCTCTATTCTACCCACTTGGTGGCCACCCATCAAACTTTGATGGCCAAACATCAGGGGTGGAGACCTTTATTTTCACAAACCATGAAAACGAATTAACAAACAAACAACCCTCTTCAGATATGTTATTAACCCTAAGAAAAATCCAAATCTTCTTATTGTTGGAAACATTGAGATGTGCACTCGGATCTAGCTATAGTTAGTAATGGCAATGGGGTGAGGCGAGTATCTCAATAGTCAATACGCATATCCATCACTTATCAAACACGGATCAGTCAGGTAATGCTTGCGGTACAAATCATAACATGTCGAGTCATTTCACTATGTTATTTGAAGCATACAAATACAAAATTTTAACTTTTATGATAAAACAAAGTAAAAACACTTGATGGATAAAAATAGGGATAACAAAATGATTAATTGAGTGTAATTAGTGGAACAATCCAGTCTTGCACCTATTTAAAGTTTCAATGGGTGAAAATATGATTGAAAAAAATCAAAATATAATAAATATAAATAGATATTAAAGTAAAACAATATCGGTTGGATCAAAACGTAGATTAAGTCAGATGATGTCAATCAAAAATAGTGCCTATGTTTGGCCCGCCTTTTAGAAGTGTTTTTCGTTTTCAAAAGTTGAAGTAGGGCCAAACACCTCTAAAAGCTCGACTTTGGAAAAGCTGAAAAGCGCTTTTGTATAACATAAAAGCAGAAGCTCCGATTTGGATATTCTGCGAAAAGATTTTTTGAAAATACAAGATTATCTTACCATATTTTAATTTTATTTCAAAAATATAATTTTATTTCATTTTGAAAATAAAAAAAATATAAAATCATATTATTTAACATTAAAAAAACATCTAAGAAGATCCATTTTAACTACTTTTTATTGTTCAGAATTTTTATTCATAGTTTATATTATAATTCATTTATAGTCATTTTACACAACTTCTCATATTAAAAAGCTCATATAATAGTTTTTCAGCCAAACACTCAACTACTTTTTTTTTTAAGTAATTCTCCAAAAGCTCCAGCAAGAAACTGCTTCTGCAAAAACTACAACTGAGCCAAACTAGCCTAGTATCCATATCCCACCCCACACTACTGTAAATTGAATCACGGTAACCAATAGGCAGTGGCAGCCCAAGAATTTTATATATGGGTGTCCTCTTAAAAAAATATAAATAATTATTAAAAAAGAAAATACCCAACTCTTAGAAGTTAAAAAATTCCATGATGTATTCTCATATTCTGAAAAAATTATAAAATACATTTGGTGTTTACACTGCTCAACAAATTTGTCTAAGTATATCCTACTAGAAAAGCATTGACGAACTACGCATATTCGACTTCTAAATTTGTTCTTAATGTAACTCAAAGCTGAAAATACACTTTCAACACTTGTCTTACAACCAAAAAATCAATACGAATTAAGGGTAGCTTGTAATTAGATTAATTGTTAGGTTTTGAAAATAATTAAAGTTAGAGAATATAATTTTGCTATTACACAATTCTTAGAATAGAACAACAAAAAAGTTTAGCTTAATGAAAATAATATTTATTAATAATAGTAGTGTCCCGGATTTGAATTACCCAAACTACCACTTATATTCTAATATGCAAACTACAAACGAGAGTATGAAAATCATTTTTTTTTTCAAATTTCGGAGTGACTCGAACTATT